GCTGGGCATATACCCTGAGAAAACCATAATTCAAAAAGAGTCATGTACCAAAATGTTCATTGCAGCTCTATTTACAATAGCCAGGAGATGGAAGCAACCTAGGTGTCCATCATTGGATGAATGGATAAAGAAGATGTGGCACATATACACAATGGAATATTACTCAGCCATAAAAAGAAACAAAATTGTTATTTGTAGTGAGGTGGATGGACCTAGAGTCTGTCATACAGAGTGAAGTAAGTCAGAAAGAGAAAAACAAATACCGTATGCTAACACATATATATGGAATCTAAGAGAAAAAAAGTCATGAAGAACCTAGGGGTAAGACAGGAATAAAGACACAGACCTACTAGAGAATGGACTTGAGGATATGGGGAGGGGGAAGGTAAGCTGTGACAAAGTGAGAGAGTGGCATGGACATATATACACTACCAAACATAAAATAGATAGCTAGTGGGAAGCAGCCGCATAGCACAGGGAGATCAACTCGGTGCTTTGTGACCACCTAGAGGGGTGGGATAGAGAGGGTGGGAGGGAAGGAGACACAAGAGGGAGGAGAGATGGGAACATATGTATATGTATAACTGATTCACTTTGATATAAAGCAGAAACTAACACACCATTGTAAAGCAATTATACTCCAAAAAAGATGTTAAATTAAAAAAAAAGAGTCCAGTGAAATACTCTTTTGATGTATAAGAAACATCCATGGACATATTTTCAGAACAGATACTTCATTTCTGACTGATTAGTGGTTCTTAATACCTAAAGCTAAAACTCCTCTGCTGGATACCCTTCTTTGAGAGTAAATGTATGACTACTTATGTAACATGGCAGTTATTTTAGCTGCCATGAAGCCAGCTTACTTGGGACCATGCTCTTGCCCATTATTACCACAGTCACCATTGATTAATCAGTTAATTAAAGGGTGAATGGATTGGGAACATTCTTGCCATCCAGACCAGAATTGATATGATATAATGGAAAGCTACCAAGACTTCTAGACATCATGATTAACTAGTCACGTGAACTTAAACTCTGTGTGTCTCAGTTTTCTCCCCTATAGAGTCAGAAGGTTGGATAATATATCCCAGATTTTGTTATTTTGTGATATATAATACATTTGAGGGTTTTTTTTCATCCTAGCTACTGTGCTAGGGACTAGAATTACAGTTCAAGACTACTGAGTGTAGTCTTGATATAGAGTCCTATATGAAGGAGCAGAAACACTTCCAAGGTGACTTCCTTCTGCCTGACCCAGGTGGTAGTAAATCTGGCATATAATTTATATATAAAGTTTCAATAAAAGTAGGCTCATGGCCTGGAAACATATTTTTGGGCTTTGCAGATTTTGTTTGTCTAGGCTAGTTTCTTTTTCATTGATATGGCTAGCTGGACATTTAAATATTCATATATTACTGACTACTTAAAATGGTATAGTGAAATACTATTTAAAAGAACTCTTGAGGTTCACATTTTTTGTCATGTCCCACAATTTACAAGGTTTTATCTATCTCTTGACTTTCTCTGCATCTACCTCATAAGTCATACTCCATTGAGGTTCTTAAGACTCTGTTAGTTGTTGATGTTTTACTTCTGTCTCTACCTAGTTGGAACAGAAGCTGAAGCATAGATTTTACATGCTTCTGTTTACATGAAATTATATAATAGGGGTGGTGGTGGTGATGTTCTATCTCTATATGTTAGAAAACCCAGGAAATGGCGATGCTAGTAGCCCATAAAACTCTGTGCTAGATTTAAGGAGTTAGGTATTAAATTATTTCTGTTGTGATTTCTGGTTCTAAATGGAGCTAATAATAAGATGTTGTAAGTATATTTGAGTATTGCTTGGATTTCTTTTTTCAGGATGAAGGAGTTGTTAAAGAAATCCCTATTACTCATCACGTTAAGGAAGGATATGAGAAAGCAGATCCTGCACAATTTGAGTTACTCAAAGTTCTTGGTCAGGGATCCTTTGGAAAGGTAATGGATGCCTTTTTCCCCATTTGTTTTTCTTCTAAACATTTAGCAAAAAAGTATACACATAGGTAGAAATCTGATAAATGTGCTGTTTCTAAATTGTCAAAGGATACACACAAAGGCGGCTCTAATTTTACTGCTTTTTATTTCTGTTGTATTTTTAGTTCAATTTCTTTATTCTTCTCTGTAATAATAAAGGTTTTCTAATCCCCTGGGATCACTGATATCTCTAGGACAAAATATAGCATGCTATTTATTAGCTGCCTAAATCAAGAAACTTTGAATTTTGTAAAAGAGATCTTGTTTCTCTGTTCACATGCTGGCATGACCTTTGCTTTCTTTATTGGTGATTTCATCTGTATTCCTTAGCTCTATCACAGAAGTCAGAATGTATGTATCAATTCATGTACTGAATACATGAATTAATCTATCATCTTTTAAAGCAAATATGTGTGTAAAGTACAGCTATGGTAAGTACTGGGTGATATATGGATTATGTGAAACTCCTGCCTTCAAAGGGCTTAAATTTCAAGGGAAAAAGCAAAATTGAGGAAGATAAACTCTGACACTCATTATTAAAATTGGTTATTAAGGGCTTAATGGTATATAATTCTTGGAAAAGATGTATGTAGGTCTGGTTCCTGACTTGTATACCTAACATCTAAGACACGAAAAGTATTGCATACACATATTAAGTAACAGCCTTTAGGAAACAGCAACAGTGGCAATTTAAGGGGAGGAAGTTAATGAGAAACTACTAATTTCAGGGTGGCTGAGATTTAGTTTCAAAGGGGAAAGTAAGGAAGTTGAGCATTGCTTAGTTATTATGCTCTGAAACATTATAAAAGAAAGACATTTATTGAACACCTGGTTTGTGTATAACACTTTAAAAAACAGCATTGGTTAATATAAAGTAGACATAATTGTCTTAAAGTAATCTGATACCTGTGTGGTATAGAATACAACATGTAAAATATAGAGAAACATTTTCAGGACACAAAAAGTACAAGCTAAGGTGGATTATGGTTTGGCAGTGAATTGGTACAGGAGGTATATGATGACAAGGAGATAGGACTTGAATAGTTGTGCTAGGGGGAGTAAAACTAGAAGGAGCTTTCAATAGATTGTATGTGTGGGGGGTGTATTTATAGAACTGACCTGTAGAGTAGGCATGTGCATTTTGAACACCTTTATTTTTTAAAGTTACTAAAAGTACAGTATATAAACAAATATTTTACATTATATTTTATGATGTTAATTTTAGAACAGAGATGAAGTTCTTTTACATCCCCAATATATAAATGCTTACATAGCGACTCAAATAAAATATCACCAGGCAATCATTTCAAGCCATTAAAAGTATTTGTTTTGTCATTTGATATATATAAATTTATTCATATGTGTATTTATTTATATACAGCTTTGTTCCAGAAAGGATTTAAGGCTTTCATAGATGAATACTAAATAAAATAAAATTTAAAATAAGTGGGGAAGATGATGGAAGCAGAAAAATTAGAGCAGGAAAGATGAGATGAAGCCAGGAATAAACTCTGTTGTTCACAGATGCATGGTATAAGGGCCTAGAAATGGGGCAAAAGTGAAGACAAATATTTTGGCAGCCATTATAAAGAGGCTGAAACATTTAATTGTATGATTATCGACAGTATCTTTAAGAAACAGACCAGAGAAATTTTTCTTATGGGGCTTCATGAAGAAAATACAGTATAACATGATAAAATGTCTTCAGTAACATCTTCACATTAATTATAGCAACACGCTGACAAGTTGTCAATGCAGTCCTTAAAAAATTCAGGGAACACTCAGCTTTGTACAGGAACTTTGGTTTAACAAGGATATCATAGAAGCCTTTAAAAAATTCCTAATACTAAAATACAGAATAGTGATCCTTGTGCAGTTCATCAACCAAAGAAATATTAAGGAGGTGGCTTATTTCTTTCTTCCTAGGATGTGAACATACTTGCTTGTCAGTATTATGCCATTTGCGTAGGCATTGTGTGGGTGGGACTTGTTATATGCTGAACCTATTCAGGAATTTGGCCAAGGCTGTGAATCAGATAAGTGTAGGAGCAATTCCAAGAAACTTTGGGCTGCAGTCTTATTTATAAGTTTTTCTGTGAAAGTCCCATTGTTAAAATGCAATAAATGGAATTTTAACCTATATAATGCTTTGTGACATTGAACATCTATATAGTCTATTTAATCGGGAAAAATCCTACGAAAATCAGTTGTAAAATTGTACTTTAAAGAAGCATGCATTATCATAAAAGATGCATATAAAATTCTGTACTAAGCACATCAAGTAATGTGTGAATTGAAATGAAGTATACCAAACAACTTACATTACTTATTTTAAAACACAATAAAATAAAACACTTGAAAACATGTTTGACATTGTCAGACTAGCCTTTCATATATTTCACATGTCAAATCATTTACACAAAGCATACATACATTTTAACATTCATGCTTCATATTGTTTTTGCTTTTGTGGTAGTAAAGCCTTTAAATATAGGACTTAAAAATGGATTTTTGAAAATATCAAACCCTTGCCCTCCTTAGTAATTGATTAGCTATCAAGAGATAGTTTTAAAAATATATGTTTACAACTTAAAATTTCTTGCAAATGGTACTTTCTCTTCAATCAGTGTTAAAGCTGTGCAGTTCTGCAGTTCACTTCAGCAAACACTTCTTAACGGAAAATATAAAAGTCCATATGACAGAGAGAAAAGTATATTGGAGTAATTCACTCATTCATTTCTCTTCTGAACAATTTCTGAGAATTGGATTAGAGTGACTGAAAAGAAACCTCTCTGATCAGGAAACAGATGTTTTTAGAAACAGTAGTTTGAAGTCATGCAGCTTCTTCTGTAGTTGATGATGGGAAGAGAGTAGAGTGAGATGATGTTTTCTTATGCTAGGAAAGTTCACTCATTAGACCTGAAAAGAACAAATCAGGTAATGAACAAATAAACAGTTATATCTCTAGACTGTTAATGATGGCTTCTATTAGATGCCATATTGAGATACTAGTGAGGTTTTTAAGAGATAGGGGAAAAGTGGCTGCTTTGTGCTTTGTGCTTTGGGTTTTTCTTTCTTCTTTAATTGCCTCTTTTTACCCTCTGTATTCCATTCTTTGCAACTCCACTAAAGGCTGTGTTCTAGAACAGTGGTTCTCAAAGTGGAGTCTACTACCCCTGGATATCCACAGGACACTTTCAGGGGGTTCTCAAGGTCAAGACTGTTTTATAATACTAAGATATTATTCGTAAAACTTTTGGCACTTTGGCACAGTCAAGGAAGTGATTTTAAACTACATCAGTAATCATATTCTTCACTGTCACCCACTTACAGTTAAAAAAATGTGTTTTACTTAAGAATGTCCTCGATGAGGTTTTAACAGTGATTAAATTTATCAAGTATCAACCCTTGAGTACACATCTTCTTAATATTGTGTGATGAAATTGAGAAGTACACAAAGTACTTTAGCTGCATACCAAAAGTATGATTGTCTCAAGACAGAGCACTTTTGCAATTTTTTGAGTTGTGAGCTAAATTACACACTTTTTTCATGGAAAAGCATTTTTACTTGAAAGAATGATCGACAAACTATGGTTACTTAAACTTGGGTATTTGGTAGATGTTTTCTCAAAAATGAATGGAGAGAACCTGTTATTTCATGGAAAACAACTGATAATAATTTTGTCAATGATAAAATTCGAGCTTTGAAGCAAAAAATTAGAATTTTGGAAAATTTTTATTTGCCACTGTGGGCTCAACTGTTCTCAATACTCAAAAGACTTTCCTGATGAGATTGCTACTGTCAACTTTTGGAAGATCTGAATAACTCAGTGAACCAATGTTTTTGAGTTGACCAAACACATGATGTTATCAAATCAGACATCAGTACAAAATCCATTCAAAGTGTCAGGTAGACCATGGATTATTATATAAAAGAATATGGACAGTTAATTGATGTGGGTTCAGATTTTTCATTGCAACTAATCTTTAAGAAACTGCCACTTGTCAAATTCTTGTGTCGTATCAAAAAAGAATAACTACAATTATATGGAAAGGCTATTAAAATAGTACTCCCTTTTCCAAATACATATCTGTGTGAGGCCTGATTTTCTTCTTATAATTTAAGCAAAATAACTTAATTGCAACAGATTGAATGTAGAAGCAGATATGAGAATCCAACTGTCTTCTGTTAAGCCAGATATTAGAGACTTGCAAAAATGTAGATCAGTGTCAATCTTCTCATTGATTTTTTTGTTTTGGAAAAAATATAGTTATCTGTATAAAAATATTTATATTCACATATAACAGGTATTTATTATTTTTAATGAATCAATACATAGTTAATTTTTTTCTGTTTTAATTTCTAATATAGTAAATATCAATAGATATAACCCACAAAAACAAAAGTACTTTAGAGTCATCAGTAATTTTTAGGATTGTAAAAGAATTATTTTTTTTATTATGTTTATCATCTTTAAGGTTTTTATTTTTATTTTTTTAATATTTATTGGAGTATAGCTGCTTTACAATGTTATGTTAGTTTCTACTGTACAGCAAAGTAAAAGAATTCTTGAGACCAAAAATATTGAGAATTGCTTTCTTGGAAGAGACTGAGAAAGATAGTTCTCTTACTTGTGGTGTAGTCAACACTCACGAAATGACTTGACTCCTTTGTTGTCAACATCTTGGTCACATGATATTGATTAGGAAAGAGGAAACTGTTTATCTACCTTTATTTGCCCATGTCAGTAAAACTGAATGAAAACTTTAAGTCTGGTGCTTAGGGTTAATGCCATTTGCTTAGCTTTGAAGCTTTTGTGTGTGTGTGTGTGTGTGTGTGTGTGTGTGTGTGTGTGTGTGTTATGGCAATTAATTTAACCTGCTGTTTAAAAAACTGATATAGACTTAAATCAGCTATACAAATACGTACAAGTCCGCTTGTTTGCCAACAGCAGGAAACTTGAAAAATACAGATAAGAAAATGTGCATCTGGGGTCATAGCTTCTTTAGCTCACTCAGTAAGTTTTATATGACATTTAGAACCCCATGGTAATCTAGTTTGTGTTTGTATTCTCTCTAACCCAGATTGAATATATTCTTCTGTGATTAAAAAGCCTGATTTAGCACTGTTCATTTATAAAATACTAATTTTATTTTCTAGTGAATCTTCATTATAAAGGAGACCGAGGGTAGGCTATAGGTGTGTTAAATTTGACATTCTGTTCCATTGCTTACTATTTTCATCAGTGAAAAATCATGGATTTTTCGGACTATCCTCTCCAAGTTTAAATGCACTAAAACTAACTCCATGGAATGAAGCTACTGAAATCTTCTGTGGCAATGCACACTTCCTTGGGGTTCTGCATTGTTTGGGGAGATCTTGTTGGAGTTCAGAGTAGATATTAGACATGAAAGTAACATAGGGTAGTAGCTTTGTTAGTTCTTTCAGTACAGAAATGTTTATGGTGATATGCAAATTTATGATTTGGTTCAAGCCCTGAACTTTTATTTTCTCCAAAGATAGTTTTATGTTGCAAAACCCAGCCATCTGTTAATATGTGAATTCTCTTGATTAGTCTACTCCAAGTGTGGTATGAACTGTTACTGGCTTACTGTAAGACATGTTCAAAAACTGAGAGTAAGCATTTAGCAACTTTTACAGAAATTTGACAAAGTAATTTTATGTGTAGAATCAATTAGTATAAAAAGGGATTGTATTTTATGACATTTAAATTTCAGTTTTCTAAATAATTCATTTTGATTATATTTTATAGAAGTATGGTCTGCAATGGACTTGGAGAAAAGGGGGAAAAAAAGACTGGTTGGTCTACACAGAAAGTGTGAGAAGCACTACACTAGATGAGTATGAAAACTGTAAACCTGAAATGGTCCTTGAGTTTAGATCTGATATAAAGAATAGGAGAAGCAGAGATTAAATGAAGTAAAGATTCCACCCCCTCACCTGCCCAGTTGGCTGATACATAATTATCACATAAAATATTTGGATTAAAGGGTTTTAAGCTCTACCTTAGGAAAGAGGCAAGACAAAAAATTACTTAAAATCTCTCCCATCTGCAGTTTTGTGTGAACAAGTTAGTTACTTGACCACATTTTAAAGTTAAGCAACACTTGAATAGAACTTGTTAGAGTTGAGGATGGCAGGTAAGGCAGTGAACACGTTTTACTAAATAATTAAAAAATTGAAACAACCCTTTACTAATAAATAACTCATAAAACTGTAATATACTCATAATTATCTTCATAACTGAGGCTTTTTAAAACTTAGCTTTAATGAGTCATAATACTGGTTTGAAAATATGAGATATTATTACTTAAGCTTACTTGGTAACTTTAAATAATTTAACTTTCATTTCTTTATTGAAATATTTGCCATCTTGATTCTTTTTCTTGGCAGACAGATAAGAATTGCCTGATTTCTTATTAGAAAATAAAATACCTGGTAACTTCTAAAATGGACCAATAGGGAAGTAGAAATGAAGGTATCAAATTAATGGTCATCACATTTGTTTGCTCCTTATTAAGGTAACAAAAAGGAGCTTGGGTTTTATAAGGAGCTCCCTTAGCTCAAATTGTCTTTTGTTATATTATTTATCTCTTACATCAGAAACTTCTCAAATGTTCTTTTAAATTTTCTTTTCCACAATAGGATGTACGGGAGTGTGATTCACTAAGTGACTGAAAGTGAGGAAATATTAACCAAGTATAATTTGTAGAGAAAGGTATATCTTTATAAAATTAGAGAAAATGCAAGGCTGTATTTATGTGCTAATGTATATGTTTAGCAGGAATGGCTTGGGATGTGAATTTCACTGTTTTAATTTTAATTCTCCTATTAGGTTTTTCTTGTTAGAAAGAAGACTGGTCCTGATGCTGGACAGCTCTATGCAATGAAGGTGTTAAAGAAAGCTTCTTTAAAAGGTAGAAAATTGGAAAGCTTATTAAAATAGAATGTGGTAAAGCTTGTTTTAAGAAATATGCTGTGTACTGCTTATATAAGATGAGTAGATTTAGTTTCCTTTTAACATTAGTAATTGTTACAGATTTCTAGTGGTAAGTGATATTTCTAGGTTAGATATTGGCATATACCCTAATTTAGTGAGAGTGTACCCTAGTAAAATTTTAATGGGATAAAAAGTGACATGTTTTATTTAAAGTGAACTTATTTTATTAAACTATATTCTTTTATTTCAAGATTCTTATTTTTTCTGTCTATCTGTTTTGGTATTGCATATTGAGAAAGCACAGCCACCTGCATACACTTATATACACTGTCTTCCAGGCTGTGATAACAATAACACTGTGCTCAGTTTTAATCAATAAACTCATTTGAACAATTTGGAGACTAATATATAATAAATGCTTATTCACCAAATAACTTTGTGTCTCCTTAACACATCTCTAGATCTGAACTGAATTTGTTAGCTTTCTGAGAATATGGTAATTACTGTCTAGGAATATAGACTGCAAATTTGGGCACTTACAAAGTTATGTTTTATATTTCTGTATTTTTGTTTGGTGAATTACTGATGGGATCTCTACTGAAATTATATACGAGAGCAATATATTCTACCCTTCTGTAATTTTTAGTTCGAGACAGAGTTCGGACAAAGATGGAGAGGGATATACTGGTGGAAGTAAATCATCCATTTATTGTCAAGTTGCACTATGGTATGTAATCTTTTTTTAAAAAACATATGGAATTAGAGAACTAAGATTTCCTTTCAGACAATAATATAACAGGATATAAATACTTCAAACAGGAAATGAATATGGAATGATTTAATACATTCAACTATGTAAAATGTATTTATCTGAAATAAGAATTAATATCTAGCTTTTAGTTGTCTTTCCTGTATTTGTTGGTTAACTTGTCTAAGGTAACAAGATAGTGTCATCTGATTACTTGTCTAGTAGTATTTCTGTACTAGGCTATACCTCCAGGGATCTTAGGCTATAAACTACTGTGACAATTTCTTCAAAGCATTTTTGTGTTTGGAAGGGCTCCTCTTACATGTTCATAATGAGCATATTAATCGTACTACCTCATTCTGTTGAAGAGGACCATATGGTATATTAGTCTATTTGAGTTATTTTTTCTTACGTTTGGCAGGAGAGGAATACAAGTGAGAAGCAATAGGTACAATGGAAAGAACATGAATTTGGAGTCAGACAGTTCTGAGGTTTTTTTTGTTTTTTTTTTAATTGCGATATAGTTGACTTACAGTATTACATAAGTTTCAGGTGTACAATATAGTGTTTCACAATTTTAAGGTTATATCCCATTTATATTTACTATAAAATATTGGTGATGAATCCTTGTGTTGTACTATATATCCTTGTAGGTTACTTATTTTATACATAGTAGTTTGTACCTCTTAATCCCCTACCCCTATCTTGCCCCATCTCCCTCCCTCTCCCCATTGGTAAACACTAGTTTGTTCTCTATATCTATGAGTCTGTTTCTTTTTAGTTATATTCCCTAGTGGGTTTTATTTTTAAGATTCCACTTAGAAGTGATATCATATAATTTTTGTCTTTGATTTTCACTAAGCATAATATTCTCTATGTCCATTCATGTTGTTGAAATGGCAATATTTCATTCTTTTTTATGGCTGATTAATAATCTGTGTGTGTGTGTGTGTGTGTGTGTGTGTGTGTGTACGCCACATCTTTTTGTTTTTCTTTTATTTTTTTCTTATTGAAGAATAATTGCTTTAAAATGGTGTGTTAGTTTCTGCTTTATAACAAAGTGAATCACTTATACATATACATATGTTCCCATATCTCCTCCCTCTTGCATCTCCCTCCCTCCCACACTCCCTATCCCACCCATCCAGGTGGTCACAAAGCACCAAGCTGATCTCCCTATGCTACGTGGCTGCTTCCCACTAGCTATCTATTTTACATTTGGTAGTGTATACATGTCCATGCCACTTTCTCACTTTGTCACAGCTTACCCTTCCCACTCCCCATATCCGCAAGTCCATTCTATAGTAGGTCTGTGTCTTTATTCCCATCTTACCCCTAGGTACTTCATGACATATTTTTTTTCTTATATTCCATATATATGTGTTAGCATATGAAATTTGTCTTTCCCTTTCTGACTTACTTCACTCTGTATGACAGACTCTAGGTCCATTCACCTCACTACAAATAACTCAATTTTGTTTCTTTTTATGGCTGAGTAGTATTCCATTGTATATATGTGCCACATCTTCTTTATCCATTCATCCGATGATGGACACTTAGGTTGTTTCCATCTCCTGGCTATTGTAAATAGAGCTGCAGTGAACACTTTGGTACATGACTCTTTTTGAATTATGGTTTTCTCAGGGTATATGCCCAGTAGTGGGATAGCTGTGTCATATGGTAGATCTATTTTTAGTTTTTTAGGGAACATCCACACTGTTCTTCATAGTGGCTGTACCAATTCACATTCCCACCAGCAGTGCAAGAGTGTTCCCTTTTCTCCACACCCTCTCCAGCATTTATTGTTTCTAGATTTTTGATGATGGCCATTCTGACCGGTGTGAGATGATATCTCATTGTAGTTTTGATTTGCATTTCTCTAATGATTAATGATGTTGAGCATTCTTTCATGTGTTTGTTGGCAATCTGTATATCTTCTTTGGAGAAATGTCTATTTAGATCTTCTGCCCATTTTTGGATTGGGTTGTTTGGCTTTTTCTTCTTATTGAGCTGCATGAGCTGCTTATAAACTTTGCAGATTAATCCTTTGTCAGTTGCTTCATTTGCAAATATTCTCTCCCATTCTGAGGGTTGTCTTTAGGTCTTATTTATGGTTTCCTTTCCTGTGCAAAAGCTTTGAAGTTTCATTTGGTCTCATTTGTTTATTTTTGTTTTTATTTCCATTTCTCTAGGAGGTGGGTCAAAAAGGATATGGCTGTGATTTATGTCACAGAGAGTGCTGCCTATGTTTTCCTCTAAGAGTTTGATAGTTTCTGGCCGTACATTTAGGTGTTTAATCCATTTTGAGCTTATTTTTGTGTATGGTGTTAGGGAGTGATCTAATCTCATACTTTTACATGTACCTGTTCAGTTTTCCCATCACCACTTATTGAAGAGTCTGTCCTTTCTCCACTGTACATTCCTGCCTTGATAATCAAAGTTAAGGTGATTATATTTGCATGGGTTTATCTCTGGGCTTTCTATTCTGTTCCATTGCTCTATATTTCTGTTTTTGTGCCAGTACCATACTGTCTTGACTACTGTAGCTTTGTAGTATAGTCTGAAGTAAGGGAGCCTGATTCCTCCAGCTCCCTTTTTCGTTCTCAAGATTCCTTTGGGTATTCGGGGTCTTTTGTGTTTCCATACAAATTGTGAAATTTTTTGTTCCAGTTTTGTGAAAAATGCCAGTGGTAGTTTGATAGGGATTGCATTGAATCTGTAGATTGCTTTGGGTAGTAGAGTCATTTTCACAATGTTGATTCTTCCAATCCAACAACATTGTATATCTCTCCATCTATTTGTATCATCTTTAGTTTCTTTCATCAGTGTTTTATAATTTTCTGCATACAGGTCTTTTGTCTCCTTAGGTAGATTTATTCCTAGGTATTTTATCCTTTTTGTTACAGTGGTAAATGGGAGTGTTTTCTTGATTTCACGTTCAGATTTTTCATCATTAGTGTATAGGAATGCCAGAGATTTCTGTGCATTAATTTTGTATCCTTCCACTTTACCAAATTCATTGATTATCTCTAGTAGTTTTCTGGTAGCATCTTTAGGATTCTCTATGTATAGTATCATGTCATCTGCAAACAGTGACAGCTTTACTTCTTCTTTTCCGATTTGGATTCCTTTTATTTCCTTTTCTTCTCTGATTGCTGTGGCTAAAACTTCCAAAACTATGTTGAATAAGAGTGGTGAGAGTGGGCAACCTTGTCTTGTTCCTGATCTTAGTGGAAATGCTTTCAGTTTTTCACCATTGAGGATGATGTTGGCTGTGGGTTTGTCATATATGCCCTTTATTGTGTTGAGGAAAGTTCCCTCTGTGCCTACTTTCTGGAGGGTTTTTATCATAAATGGGTGTTGAATTTTGTCAAAAGCTTTCTCTGCCTCTATTGAGATGATCATATGGTTTTTCTCCTTCAATTTGTTAATCTGGTGTATCACGTTGATCGATTTGCATATATTGAAGAATCCTTGCATTCCTGGAATAAACCCCACTTTATCGTGGTGTATGGTCCTTTTAATGTGCTGTTGCATTCTGTTTGCTAGTATTTCATTGAGGATTTTTGCATTTATGTTCATCAGTGATATTGGCCTGTAGTTTTCTTTCTTTGTGACATCCTTTTCTGGGTTTGGTATCAGGGTGATGGTGGCCTCATAGAATGAGTTTGGGAGTGTTCCTCCCTCTGCTATATTTTGGAAGAGTTTGAGAAGGATAGGTGTTAGCTCTTCAGTAAATGTTAGATAGAATTTGCTTGTGAAGCCATGTGGTCCTTGGCTTTTGTTTGTTGGAAGATTTTTAATCACAGTTTCAATTTCAGTGCTTGTGATTGGTCTGTTCATATTTTGTATTTCTTCCTGATTCAGTCTTGTCTGGTTGTGCATTTCTAATAATTTGTCCATTTCTTCCAGGTTGTCCATTTTATTGGCATAGAGTTGCCTGTAGTAATCTCTCATGATCTTTTGTATTTCTGCAGTGTCGGTTGTTACTTCTCCTTTTTCATTTCTGATACTATTGGTTTGAGTCTTCACCCTTTTTTTCTTGATGAGTCTGACTAATGGTTTATCAATTTTGTTTATATTCTCAAAGAACCAGCTTTTAGTTTTATTGATCTTTGCTATTGTTTCCTTCATTTCTTTTTCATTTATTTCTGATCTGATCTTTATGATTTATTTCCTTCTGCTAACTTTGGGTTTTTTGTTCTTCTTTCTCTAATTGCTTTAGGTGCAAGGTTAGGTTGTTTATTCGAGATGTTTCCTGTTTCTTAAGGTAGGATTGTATTGCTATAAACTTCCCTCTTAGAACTGCTTTTGCTGCATCCCATAGGTTTTGGGTCATCGTGTCTCCGTTGTCATTTGTTTCTAGGTATTTTTTGATTTCCTCTTTGATTTCTTCAGTGATCACTTAGTTATTAAGTAGTGTATTGTTTAGCCTCCATGTGTTTGTATTTTTTACACATCTTTTCGTGTAATTAATATTTAGTCTCATAGCATTGTGGTCGGGAAAGATACTTGATAAAATTTCAATTTTCTTAAATTTACTAAGGCTTGATTTGTGACCCAAGATATGATCTATCCTGGAGAATGTTCCATGAGCACTTCAGAAAAATGTGTATTCTGTTGCTTTTGGATGGAATGTCATATAAATATCAATTAAGTCCATCTTGTTTAATGTATCATTTAAAGCTTGTGTTTCCTTATTTATTTTCATTTTGGATGATCTGTCCATTGGTGAAAGTGGGGTGGTAAAGTCCCCTACTATGAATGTGTTACTGTCGATTTCCCGTTTTATGGCTGTTAGTATTTGCCTTATGTATTCAACTGCTTCTATGTTGGGTGCATAAGTATTTACAAGTCTTATATCTTCTTCTTGGATCGATTCCTTTATCATTATGTAGTGTCCTTTTTGTCTCTTGTAATAGTCTTTATTTTAAAGTTTATTTTGTCTGATATGAGAATTGCTACTCCAGCTTTCTTTT